TTCCCTAGTAAAAATAGTGACAATGCATCTAGAATAGATCAGTCAGAATGTCAGTTAAGCCTTTATTTACTTTTTTTGCATGGAGGTCATGCCTTGCATCACCTTGACCAGTCTCCAGATTTTGCAAGGTAACCTTGCACTTTGTGATGTTTCATCACAATTCACATTGGGCACAATCACCAACACCTTATCCACCAAAACACATAAGCACTATTAGGTCTTGCACCCCTGAGTAAGCCTACCCCTTCTCAGTAAAGAGACTGCTCAGGTCTTGCTGAAGTTGATGGAACTTACATTGACATTCAGAGTAGGAATAGCATTCCTCATATACAACATAAGGCCTTTATTTGGAAATTACAATGTGAAATTTGATTCAACTGTGCATTTTGTTTTCCTAAGCAGTGAATGACATAGTGGAGGATCAAATTTTTACCTCCTTAAGTTGTCCCACTCTACAATGAATACCTCTCTTTTAGCTAGAGCAGTTCTGGGTCATTTAGGCAGCTGCTAAACAGGGCTTAACATACTTGTCCCACATCATGAACTATCTAATACTTTGCTCAAGTACTCCCTAATCTTGAGGAATAAAAATGCTAGAGGTCTTGCGCTGTGTAGTCCAGTTCTTCTGTAAGGGAAAAGCTGCATGAGCAAACTACTCGAGGAGTGGTCATACAAAAGGCTTTACTTTAAATCGCTACAAGAAAAATGTTAGAGCAGAGAAGTAATCTGTTAAAAAGTTGTTGCACACTATAACCTGTGGAGGGGTTTGGGATTGACAGCACTTGTTTTGAGTTAGGAGTCCTTAGGATTATTGGTTACCAATGAACTTTCCAGGCCTGTGTCACATTTATGTTACCTCTAGTTCTGTGGAGTGCATGCAGCATTAGCTATTATTTTTTAACTTTGCATCAGATAACATTGTTTTCGGCAAGCAATAAGCTTATTCTCATTTAAAAATGGACGCAGTTTAATACCATAAATTGACTGTAAATTAACCTGACTTTAGTGACACACTTCCAAGTTCAGAATGTTGCAAAACAGCAAACTGAAAAGGTGCTTGTGTAATATTTGTTGCCCCTCCTAGATAAAAACAATTAATGCTTCTCTGGTAAAAGGATCAAGCCCATTACGTGAGAAGTTGAAATAAGGAACAAAGTAAAAAATCTTAAAACATAAGATGATTCCCTGTGAACTTTTCAAATTTTATGTAAGATAATTTTTCAGCCCATAGGACAAGTAAAAGTATCATGCCAACCTTACATAAAAAAGGAGAAATTAAAATAGAAAGTTTTTTGCTTCAGTAATCTGGAATAAGATTGAATTATTAATATCTTGCACTAAAACTCTTGAAAAAATAACCCTCTCTCGGGTTCCCCTCTTCGGTATATCAAGTTCCTTTAAACAGGGGATCAGCTTTCCACCTTTGTAGCAAATGCACATTAACGTACATACTCAATACAGAATGAGCTGTGTGAAAGATGTCATATTTGGAAACCTAAGTCTTTATCAATTAGTATCCTATTCTAGCATCTGGAAGATACTCTTCCATGCTAGCATGCCTTCATCCTGAGTCACAGAAACCATTTGCATAAGGTGATTATCTGTGAACATAAATACTTTACGCTCTTGTTTAAAAAACCTGTATCTTCTACTGAAAAGATGGTTCCGATTTTATTGCTCGTTTCTGTGCAAATGTGGGGATTTAGTCCTTTTCTTAAGGATTTTGAGTCCTTAGAAGAGACTAACAAGTCTTCATCTCTGTAGATTACACTGGCTGTGTTACACATAAATACGGGTAGTCAGTTACAGCAGTTACTAGCTTTTCAGTAACAATGTAGGATGAAAACAGTAAGGCAAAACAGTGTGAGGTTTGTAAATACTCTGTAGTTTTTTAGGCAAAGACAATCTTCTCAGCTTTTTTTTTTAATCAGTTTTAGTAGACTTTTTGACTGCAGCATGGTTACATGCCATATTGTAAAACACAAAGTGTCTCCACACTAGGATGGGTCTTCTATGGCTGGAAAAACTACCTTTTAAGGGAAACTGCATAATGCAGTGACTAGCTTTTGTAGTTACTGCATGTGCTGGTGGGTTCTGATTTTGTTTCAGAGTAAAAAAAGATGACAACTACATGAGTTCAGAGAGGCAATACTGTTCTAGAATGATGATGTTTGCTGGTATTGTATCTCAAATTATATGCATAAAGGGTTACAGTTAATTATCATGAACTTGTGGCAACTCCTGTTACTTAAATGACAGAAATGTTGGTCTCAACATCTATCTAGTTGAATACCTTCCATCTTTTTTTTCTGAAAAGATGTTTTTGTTAATGTTTGTCACAGTGGCTCCACTGATCTTGTTTTATTGTTTTGATTTAATGCTTTTTCTAGTAATGAAGCCTGGAGATATATGGGTGGCTTTGCAAAACCTGTCACCTTAACAGAAGTCTTTACTAGGGGACTCAAGTGGGGATTTGCAGCTTTCGTCGTAGCTCTTGGCATCGAATATACACTGTTTCCTCCAAAGAAGAATGGAGGCCATCACTGAAGATCCAATATGGCAACTAATTATTAAGCTGAAACAGACATAAACCTTCTGCTCACTGTATGCTTATAATATGCATATTAAAGTCTCTACCAGGAAAAACAATGTGTTTTTTGATTTTATTACACTTTTGTGGACGGATCAATAAACATAGCGAGAGCGACTTACCTGAGCTTAACCCAAGGGAAAAAGTCCCAACAAACAAGATACATACACTCTCAGATTTGCTGTACCACCTTTTAAAGAACAGGGGCAACTATCAGCCCAGCTCTTTTAAGCCCCACCACATTCTATTAAATGAAATCAAGAAAGTGTTTTTAAGAGAATTGTACTCTGTTAATCATAGGCTTAATAACAATTATTTGCTAGCAAGTGCTAATGAATTTCTTAAAATTATTTGTTAATATTCACACTTAGGTCTCTATATAAAAAGAATCATGACCTTAAAAGTTTTAGAAAGTACTCAAAACTGCCTCAAGTGTAGACTTCAGACAACATGCATCAAAACAACCTGCTGTGTAATATCCAAAAATTAAAAATTACATTGCTGCCACACTTACTATGAAAAGTTGAATGTTTCACTGTGCAATAGGTGTACTTACCCTAATATGACTCCCAATATACTTTAGTTTAAGGTGAAGCAAAAAGAGAAAGAGCAATTGCTTATTTCTTTGTCCTGGTGTAATAAGTTGTAAATGTGTAGTAGTATAGATTTATTTACTTATTTTTACACTTAGTGTCTTAATAATTTATTTGAAATTTTCTTAAATTATCCAACAACTTCTGGTGTGCTTTAAGAATGTCTGGAGCGAGGACTAGAACAGAAAAGGGCCTGCTGGCAGTATATGTCCTCTGCAGTGCAAGGGATTCGAATTGGCTGAGCATCCTCTTGTAAATTTTGTAATGCCATTAGATTAGTAACATAAGCTAAGGAGGGCATACCATCATTTTGCAATCCAAGCAACAGATAAACATAAAAGTGAAACTGGACTAACAAGTAACAGATTGTAAATGCCATTAGAAGATTACATAGTGTACTTCCATGGTGAAGAAACTGAAAAGTTTAAGTAATCATGTCACAAATTGCAGGTTTACAAAAAACATGAAGGTCATACCAAAACATGGCTAAAATCTCATAATGTATATATTGACATACAACTTTTCTCAGTGAGATGATAACAGAACTTTATTTTTAAAGCCAATAAACAACATCTGTTATTGTGGGTGTGCAGCTGCATTGTTCAGTGGAATTTGTCATCTCTGTATGACATTGCTCAAGGCACTATTCACAGGGCAAACATTTGTTTTAGTAAGCTTGTCTTCCCCAATTCTTTCTAAGGCATCCCTGTCCAGTTGCATAATTCCCTGAAAAACAAATAAAGAACCTAAGGTCTGTTGCACAGAATATTTCTATGTTGTCCCTTAGGCAGTCCTACCCAGAATACACATTTTCAAAGGCTGGTATTCACTGCTTGTTTTCTATCTGGGGCAAAGACTAAATTTCTTAATGTAACTGAGTTTTAGATGGCTGTTCAGAGAAACAATTAACAGAGCTAGCACTACATGCAGTATTGGTGAATCTTGCCCTTAAGAGATGTGCTTCTCACTTAAGCTGCTCTTTGTAACTTTACTTGGATGTGCAGGAGCAGTGACTGGCTGCTCCCCACCTGCCCCAAATCTGTTGCAGAAGCATAAGCTTTAAAAGAATCTTTAAGCAGTAGCTGCAGTCTCCTTTAATCTCCTGTTGAGAAAGTGTTTTCATGTTCTTATGTATGTATGCTTTTCATTGTGGCTTTTGTTTACACCAAATGCTTCAGTCTCAGGAAAGGTTCTGGGAAGTTCCTGTGGAATTAAGTATTTTTAAATGTTAAAAACCTGACACTTCACTGATACAGCAAACTGTTCTGGTAAAAATGAGGAGCTTTATTTACACTTGCTGAACAGATATTAATACATTATTTTCTTTTCAAGCACTAGCAGATGAACACAGATTTTAAAGTTAACGTAATACTATTTTTAGCATATATAGCCTTGGTAAGTTGCTTAGTTTATTTAGACCAAAATACATAAAATACATACAAATATAGTTTGGCTGCTATATAAACTTATGCATTCCTCAATTATTTGTTAAAAATTGATTAATTTATCAAGACTTTATTGTATTAGAAAGTTAAGACATTTGTAATTGTATGTCTTCTAACTTCCAGAAAACTTACATGCAAACAATTAATCTCAATTTAATTTCTACAGATGCTCTGCTTCAAAGATTGAAAATATTAATGTGTAAGTGCTATCTTGTATTGGCAAGACTGTAAGGATCAGCCTTACCAAAACTCTACATAAGCAAACGTATTTGGTATATACACTGTTAGACTAGACTAGTTTAGATAGATTTCATTACTTTATAAATTAAGGTGTTATTCAATGGTTTAATAGCCTGATGGCAGCTGTTGCTCTAAACAACTGCCTCAATTTATGATGAACATATTTTGCCAATATCGTGGAATATAAATATGTCTAGTCATTATTATATATGAATATACTTATAAGATTTTCATTTCACAATTATTGTAAGACTAATGCTGCCTGGGGATGGAGTATTTCCTGTGCATTAAAATAACAGTAGCAAATCTGTCTTCATCTGTCTTCTTAATGCACCCCAGGATACTGCTGGCCTTCTTGGCCACAAGGGCACATGGCTGACTCATGGATACTTTGTTGTTCACCAGGACTCCAAGGTCCTTCTCCACAGAGCTGCTTTCTAGCAGATCAGCTCCTAATCTGTACTGGTGCATGGTGTTATTCCTCCCCAGGTGCAGGACTCTACACTTATTCTTGCTGAACCTCATTAGGTTCCCCTTTGTCCAGCTGTCCTGTCTCTCCAAATCTTGCTGAACGGCCACACAGCCTCCCAGTGAATCAGCCAAGCCTCCCAGATTTGTATCATTAGCAAACTGGCTGAGGATACGCTTGGTCTCCTCATCCAAGTTGTTGATGAAGATGTTGAACAGGACTGGACCCAGCACTGATTCCTGGGGAACTCCACTAGTTACAGGTCTCCGGCTGGACTCCGCACCATGGATCACCACCCTCTGGGCTCTATTGTTTAGCCAGTTCTCACTGTCTGCTCTTTTACCCCACACTTCCTGAGCTTGCTCACGAGGATGTTATGGGAGACTGTGTCAAAAGCCTTGCTAAGGTCAAGGTAGACTACATCCACTGGTCTCCCTGCATCTACCCATTCATCATAGAAGCTATCAGGTTACTCCAACATTATGTCCCCTTGGTGAATCCATGCTGGCTACTACTGATAATCTTCCTCTCTTACATGTGCTTAGAGATGACCAGAATGAGCTGCTTTCCAGGGATGGAGATGAGGCTGACTGGTCTGTAGTTCCGTGGATCATCCTTCTTTCCCTTTTTGAAGGCTGGAGTGGCATTGGTTTTCCTCCAGTCCTCAGGCACACCTCTCCTGTTTGCCATGATCTTTCAAAAATAATGTAAAATGGTGGAGCAACATCACCCAGCTCTCTCAGCACAAGTGAGTGCATCCCGTGAGGGCCCATGGATTTGCATATGTTAAGTTTTCCCACATGATCTCTAACCAAACCTTCATCAACCAGTGGAGAGTCTTTCTTCCTCCAGGATTTCTCTCTCACTTCCAGAGACTGGGATTCACAAGGGCTGGTCATAGGAGCAAAGACCGAAGCAAATAAGGTATTCAGTAACTCTGCCTTCTCTGTATCCAAGAAGCCGTACTTGTTCTCTTCTATGTCCTTAGCCAGGTTTAGTTCTAAGAGGGCTTTGACCTTCCTACATACCCTGACAACATTGCTATAATTCTCCCAACTGACAAGTCCCTTCTTCCACAAACTGTGAACTTCTTACTTTTTTCAGCAGCTCCCTGCTCATGCAAGTAGGTCTCCTTCCTCTTCTATCTGATTTTTTACTCAAAGGAATGCACCCATCTTGAGCTTGGAGGAAGTGATGTTTGAACCAGCATTCCTGGGGCCTCCCTACCTTCTAGAGTCTTAGCCTCTTAGCCCATGGGACTCTTCCAAGTAGATCTTTGAAGAGTACAAAGTTATCTGAATTTAAAATCTGTATGTTACACAGAAGTTAGAGCAGCTAAATTATTCCAATACAATAATGACTACACATTGTAGATTAAATTTCAGATGTCTCTGAAATTCCATTTTCAGAGCATAACTGTTCTCACAATGTTAGGCAGCTGCAGTTTAAATAGCAGACAATAACTGTGTACATTGTTTCATTAACCTGCCGTGAAATCACTCCTAAAAACCTTCCTACAAAAATCTTCTTTATTGAGCTCTCATACTATGAGCTTCTATCCTGTAATTAATTCTTTGCCAGTTCAGCATTTATTAAACAGACATTTTACATCAATGCAAATGTATTTTCTATATGCAGCTAACTGAAGTTAGGAGTGTTTGCCTCAGGGATTATAGAAGGGAAGTAGTCAGAACCCATGCTTCTCTTCCAATTAAGTTTGCTGATTTCATCATCGATCTCAAAACACTTAGGGATTCACCCAAACTGTTTTACATGTATGACAGAAAACTGATTTCACAGATGCTTTCTATGTCCTCAGTTGTAGGCCAGATAGAAATCTGAAAATCTGGAAGTCAGATAATCTTTTTACCATTGTTCTAATGAAGAAGAAAACTTCTTGAAAATAGTCTCTTCCCTTAGTGACTTAGCCTTTTTAAAAATAATAACAGCAACACCAACACCTTAACAAATGAAACAAGTGACACCGTTTATACATACAGATGGAATGCCCTCAACCTGATCATACCAAGTCTGATTTTGAAATATATAGCACAGTAGATAAGCTAATAATATTTCAGGATGCATAAACTCTTAAAAGTTTTTGTTTGTTTGTTTGTTTTACTAACTAGGAGAATCTATGAAATTAAACAGATCAAACTAGTTACCAAAGCATATAGAGAGAAGTCCAAGTCAGAAATTAAATCCAAATGGAAATATATAGGACCA